CCCCAAAACCCCAAAACCCCAAAACCCCAAAACCCCGTAAAGAATAATAAAAAGAAGAGATGATAGCAGAATTTTCGAAATAAATATTATATGCTTTTTTAATGTAATTGCCATATCTATTGTAAAGATAGCTTATCTAACATCATCAACCACAATTCATTAATCCTGATGTATCTAAGATATATCATCTAATACCATCATCAAATCAGTCCATTTATCTTCTTTTAATAGAGCTTATAGCAGTGTCTTGCAGTCATTTCTTTGATAGTCAAACATTATTTCAGGGTATACTCCTAAAGATTAAAGCACCTGATCTCTGTATTACTTTGAAGACTTGTTAAGATTCTTTTGAACATTCCTCTTCCCATAGAGTCTTTCTCTGATCAAGTATAGAAGTTCAATTAGTTCAGCACTCATACTTTGAACAGGAGTTTTAGCAATCACTTAGTGCTTGGCTAATAGTATTTAATATTAATCCTCCTATAGTCCAGTTCTCTTGTAAAATTGGTCTGAAATTAAGTAGTCTATGAAATCCCTTAATTCTTAGTCTCTTGTGTTTTGAATAAATTCTTATATTTGAGGTTTGATTAGCAGCAACTTTGCATCTGCCATAGAAGAACAGAGCTCTCTAATGGTATCTCCTGCTGACAGATTGCTTCCTTTGACTACTACGTACTCCAACTTTTAATTAATCTCATCATACTTCGAAGCGCGAGATTGATCTTTCCGTAAGATCTCTATGTTTCTTATGAACTCTTTTTGAGGTACTCTAACTTCACCAGAAACAACCTCAAATATCGCTCGGAACCTATCTTGTTTAGTCTTTTAGTAATTTTAGAATTGCTTTATGTAGAGGTTGAACTTATCGCCTTTTAACTATTCTTAGTTTTTGTGATAATCTCTGATGCTTAAGATCTCTTAATGATATAAACTTTTCAGAATTTTGAACATTTTTAGAAGGGTATTAGGTTCTATACTTAGCTACCCAAATGATTCTTCAACTGGTGCTGTAATGAATTTTTCGATTCCATGTTCGGTCAAGAGAGGGGTAACTTTTTATTTAATTTCTAAGTGGTATGGATCATCATAAGCAGTAGTTATTAAATTTTATGGCTGATAAGCCGATTCATCTAGGGCTGATTCTAGTGAAGTGGGGCTCTTTTCTTCCTCGAACTTCACAATTTCAAGATCTTCTTGCTATTCTTCTGGTTCAACTACAGTTTCCTCTAGACATTCTACTGGTTCTTATACTATAGGCTTCTTCTTTTCTCTAAATTAAAAGTATTCTGGATAGTATTTGTATCCTACATAGCTAAGTCCAATGAAAACTGCAACTGAAAAAGATACTATAAGAGCTTTACCACCTTTTACCATTAAAATATAATCTAGTCTATATTACTATAAAAGCAGTAATGATTATTATTAATTAAATAGACACTATTTTTTTCATCTAAAATTTTGTAAATTTACCATATTTGCGGGGTTTTGGGGTTTTGGGGTTTTGGGG